CCGATAATTCAATGAACCAGAAGTTTCATTCAATTTCACGCGTTTGTGACGTCAACCGCGGCGAAGACGTTCGTGCCTCATTCAGTTTCAGACAAATAGGTCCACATACCAAAACAATCCCGCTTGAACAAGTCTGAAAGCACGCACACGCTCACTTCCAGGCAAACAAGTGAGAAAATTACCACATACTGAAACAGTTCCAGCTCAAATTGCCTACATAATGAGAACGTGCCAGTCGGCCCACAGGTGGACGACGCGCAATTATCTAAGGATGCAGCTGTCCATAGCAAGTGCTCTCACCTCTTCTCCGACTGTGGCAGGGTAAATTCTCTGCGGCTGATATTGGTTCTTCTCCAGCGAGAACTGGTCCTCTGTGGTCTTGCGGTAAACGGGGTTGTCAAAGTTCATACTCGTCACATTTCTGTGCAGGTAATGGCGATAAACCACAAATGCAATCTGCAACAAAATATTTCAAGAAGAAGCCATTGGGCAAATTTCAGTTTTGTAAAATGTGATTTCCAAATAAAGGGCACTGTGTTAGTACAACCTGAAAATTCCTTATTGCACAAAGAGCTGTCACAATACAAAACATTTTCATACCAAGTTCAACGCTTCTGTCACTCTCCAACTAACGGGGAGCGACGAGCTACATTCGCCCGAGCTGGTGCCAGTCGGTTCACCCAAATCCTGAGTCCGGCTTAAACGCAAAATGAACGAGACTGCAAGTGTCAAACAGCGTATTAAGTAGTGGTATCCACTGCCAGCCGGCATAGTTTAATTACTGTCGAATGCACATTTGTTTATGAACTTTTCATGGCATTAAATTCTGAACTATTGTTTCTCCCATCCAAGCTACACGTCCAAACCATCACGACCCCGACCCCCTTCCCTTCATATTTCTCATACACATACAACATCTTGCAATGAGACTGGGGAAAAGTGGGCATTTTCATACTTCATTCTGTATTTTTAGTTGGCATCAACTGATAGCTTTGTTATGCAACATTCAATAACTTCAATTTCCTACACAAAATTATCAGTTATCATGTTTTTGCTGAAACTTATTGTTTCCAGATAAGACCCATACAATTTTCTCCTGCTAGCCATGCAATCTTCAGATACTGATAAGTCTTATCAATGCCAACACCACAGTACAAGAAGTTACTCAACTTGCAGCACCCTTTAAAAATTACCTTTGCTTATGTCATCCTGAGTTTTTCCCCCACTGATCATGCTAGGAAAATGCCCATTTTAACACACACTATTTTCCTGGAGGGAAATCGTAAGAATTTCAACATTTCCATTTTGCTTAGAAAACACCCCACAACGAAATAAGTTCTTCTGGACAATGCAGAATTTGGCAAAAATATCTAGCTGTAACGACCAGCAAGGATCAGCAAGGTCATATTCTCTTTGGACAGGTGGTTAATGTCCACCTCTCACTGAACTTCAACTTAATTTACTTACTTGTTCAAGCATAAACACATCACATCTGTCTGAGCCCTTCAACACCAGCTTATTTTGAAGAAAGAGGTTAGGTATGTGAGACTGTATTTTCCCCGTAAACTTTTATAGTTATTTCAATCTGGGAAGTATAGTTGCAACTCACCAGGGCTGCCAGGATCAGCACGATGGTGACCACAGCTATGACGATGCCTGCCACCAGCCCGCTGTCATCCTCCGGGATGGACTCCATGGAACGGGTATTATTCATGAGGCCCACTGCAACAGGCCCATCAGTTATATCGTTCAGCCCCATTGAAATACGTCTAGCAACAGTGCACCACCTTACGTTGTGAACGGCCACTCATTAACTGCTCATGCGCAGTGCAAGCACATACAATTGTTCGGCTTGCCACGGGATGCTAGACACGAGGTCCAAGGTCCGTTCTCAGTTAAGAATAATGACGTCAAATACTACTACCTGTTGTGAAAACATGAACGAACGGCGCAGCAAGATCACAAACAAAACACAATGTAAAGACACGATGAACAGTAAAGGAAGATAAGTAAAAAACGGACGGTGAAAGATACAGAAATGAGAAACTGGAAGACGGAATGTAAAAAGGTTATCGCGAACGAAAGTTGGACAACCACGAATGGACCGCTACAACCTTCCCACTCCATGGGATAATAATACACGAAAATGCGTCACCGGTAAGCGCGCAGAAACAGTTGCATCAACCAATGGCTGCTTCTGAACGACCAAACTTGGCAACGGCGTCATCGAATGACGACCTACAGAAGCGCACACATTTGACTGGCTTCTCAAAAATAGTCCTCTTATTATTTTTTGTGGAAAACAACTGATGTTGCGGACCCCACCTTTAAACATTTTTTTAAACTCTTCTGTGGGACAAAATGTAGGAATTGCAAACATTGTAACAAGAATTGAACCGCAGTCACTGGATCGAAGAGTGAACAGGGCCTGAACCTTCTACGACAAGGCAGAGTGCTGATGACTTCAACACACGTTCTGCTAAGACTCGTGACGTAAGCTGTTTACAGTCCATTAGCACCAAGGGCGTACGCCTCCTCAGGGTGTCCCACAAGGAGAACCACGTGCTATCAAAGGCCAGTGAATGCGAGGTTGCACGTCACGTTAGTTGACACACACAGTCTGTATATCCCTGCGATTGCTTCAGACATGCCAATTTATTCTGCTGTGTGTTTATGAAACACTTCCACGCGTAAACAGTGTGCACAGGGGAGATGTTCTTTTGTTTATTGTATTAAAAGAATTCATATCACAAGCAATGACAGAAGTAACCTGCGTTACATGAACCCACAGAAAAATTATTTAAAAAGTGACGCAAGGATTCGGTTCTGAAATACACACACATGGTGACAAATAAGTTCTTCAGAACGTTACGAAATTAGAACGAATTTCAAATCCTCACTGACATTAAGCATTCGGAATTCTACTTACTTTGGAAACATGGGCACAAATGGAGGATTTCCGTGTAATTACGTAACACGTGTGTAAAATGAAAAATTAAATAACATATCCTATTCAGGAGTGGCACGTGTTCAACTCGTTGCCCCAACTAACACATATGAAAAATATAAAATAAAGAAGCTGCCAAGTTTTGGATTCTGCCCGATAGAAAATTTCCAGTCAGAAACAAAGTTTTCCAACCGCACAGATAATTACAACCAAAGGCTCTGCGCCGAGAGTGGTGCTGGAAGACAGAAGAGAGCTAAAACAACAAATTAGCGTGTTTTTGTTAGTCAGACAGCAACATTCGCACCTCAGTGTTATAGTAACATTGAAGAAACTACCTGGTTTCAACTGCTCGTCTGCGTGTACGGAGATTTACTTCTGCGCCGCTCGATATTGTGCTTAGACACAGGGACACCACAAGTTATACTCTTACCACTCACTCGCATTGGATTCCATGACACAAGACACATTTCCCACCCACGTACAAGCCGATCAAACACGACACTGAACATACATGCATTAGTTTGCTAGTTTTATTACCACTACATCAATTACTGAAGCTAAATGAGACTGGAAAAGCAACCACAATCAGTGTTGTCAGGTTTTTAACCTGGAACAGATCTGCGATCGGCAGGGCCACACAAAAACCAGACGTGTCCCAGTCTCAATCTCAAGGTAGACAAAGTGCCACAACACAGAAAGATTAGGTTAGGTTATTTCATGCTTTGCCCCTCTCGTATTGTTACTTCTTATGCACAATTCAAAATGCACTGTCTCGTGTGGTTCAAGGAAAGAGGGACATGCTCGGAACCAACGTCTTGTCGTACCAAGAGATTCTTTGCCTCGTAACCCCTAGACGCATCTCGTGGGTAACGTGCGACGAAGACTGTCCTCGGGGCAGCCGTTCCAGGCACTCCGCTTTCACGGGCCCCAGACACTGACGACATGATGTACGAAACATAAAAACCATCTCCCTTTTGTTTTCTTAAGGATACGCCCACATAGACTACTTTGCCCAAAGCCCTTCTAGGGTGAATTTTGTGGTAGAGTTGGCTATTTACCTGTAATATTTGTAGCAATGGCATCACTGAGATTGTGGCCTCGTACGTGGCTGTTGTTAGTGGGGGCCACGGCTGTAACAATACACCAGGAAATTGCAAGCTTGCATGCTCTGATACCAGCAAACATCAGGGCTTACTGTGGCATTAATATATTACAGGGATGTAAGGCACGGAGCTGACTGACCAGAACGCAGACCGTTCCGTTTCTGATTCTGACAGCAGTCGAGATTAAATTTCCGCGGCATCGGACTGAATCATACTCGGAAGCGGGCCGCGATGGCTCCACAATCTTTCTACCGCGCTCGGTGTTTCTTCTGAACAAATCACACTGACAAAGTAGAAACGCTGAGAGTATCGTTATGGTCAGTCACTACACGTGTCACCGTGTTAGTATAACTAGGTGTTCAACAACAAAGTTCCTCAATGCTAGTTCCACGAAGGGTTAGTGGATTATCACAGAGACTGAACGCGTTACACGTCGCAATGTAAATTCTTTGCCTTTGTGTTATTGACGTCCAGGTCCCACAGTAAACCCCAACAGTGTCCATTTTCATGTGGACAAGACTTCACCCAACACCCACCGTCACGCATGCATCTCAGGGACAACGAGAATTAACACAGCCATGCATTTAGCATTCTTCGTCAAAGTAAACCCTTTAATGTTAGTGAAATGGTCGTCACACCCCTGTGAACATCCACTCACCTGTACGAAAACTTCCATCTTCATATCAAAAAACATTCTTACACTTAACAGTATTTTAGGCTGCAAAACTCCTCAAAATGCAGTTGCAGGATCAGAAATATTTCTTTTGGTCGAACGCGAGCGTCTGACAAAGTGCGGAGGGACTGGACACACTCATGAGTAGGTAGCTCTTTGCTCTTGGCGAGCACTTGCTCTAATTTCAACAACGCCAATAAAATTATCTCACGAAAGAAATAAATATCAATCAGTTGCACGAAGCCGTACATCCCTGATGGGGTGCGTTGGTCCCTGTTCATTTGCACTGATGCTGTGATCATAATTGTGTGTCCATCACTGCAGAACAATTCTATGCTTTCCGTATAAGCAACGGGACCGATGATCGTGAAAACAAAGACCACAACCGCCCCTTGAATTCATTAGCCTAAATTACGTGGACGTACGAGGAAGACGTAAAGCGGCGGGAACACCTCACATGAGTAATGAACGTGGTACAATGGATAGCAGGTTGCATCTGGCACTCACCTGGGGCACGAGATCGAGAATTTGTATTCCTGGAGGACGGTCCCGAGCCCGCCACACCCGCAGAGACCGTAGTGCGCTTTACTGTAAAAGAAATGAGCTGTTAAGTTCTGACATGGACATGCACAGTCCAGACCTTAAATCAATTCTTAACATTTTTGGGGGGCTGTAAATTGCAAGGATGTCGAAACATCCGGTAAAGATGTATCTAAGACGGGATATGAAACTGCAAGCTTCATCGTCCATTACCAAGGAAACTCAAGAAGACAACTGTAAACACAAAACACAAAGAAAGAAAAGAAAAACTTTTGTATTTTTCCATCAAATAACAAATACTAAGCACGTTAAGCTTTTATTCCACTTTCAACCAGAATTAGTTGGCGATGCAAAATTTTCAACCTCACGTGTACATTCGGAGCAACAAATTTACCAAAATCACATTCTGCTTTCTGTACCGAATGATCGAAACTAATACACGGCAATTTTTGTGACTGTGATATGTGGACAAGACATAGAATTCTCCACGCTTCATTTCCAAAAACCTTTCACGACCACAAGAAGCTGTCATCGACCATTTCACAGCGTTACGAGCAACTGATCCTTGTGGTACACAGATGCCGATGACAGGAAGTCGATGCATCAGGTGTAAACACGTAAGAATTCAGAATACAAACAAAAAAAAATCTGAAATTGTAACACCTGCCCTTGCGACGCTTTCACACACAGTCTGGGGCAACATTTTCCATTACGAAAGGAGCGAAACGAAGTTTAAGCAATCACAAGATTTTCAGTTCCCCACTTTCTTTGGAGGTTATGTAAAAAACAAACTAAAAATGTGCACATCACAACAACGTATACCTTCCTCACCACACAATGGTCCATCCTCAAGCAGCCGTAAGCCATCGGGACACGCGCAGGAGACCTTCGGCGACTGCGCGTCGATCTGAGGCGCAGGCAGGCACAGGTGCGAACAGTGTCCATTCACCGCCTGACAGTAGTTCTGACCGTCTGGCTGTCGGTACGGATGATACACGTGGATCACCATCGGATTCTGCAACTGAAACGTGACAGCACAACAGATTCATCAACATCGAATCAGACATCAAAGTGCGTGTTCAGAGTCACCGTGGAGTGTACTGCACTCTCTCCGCCTAGCAATTTTAAGTGTCGTGACTTGAAGGAGAAGAGATCCGTGTGTTTTATCGACAGTTTTTCTAAGTCTCATCACAAAAGTTGCACTTGAGGTAAGAGACAAATCCAAAATGTAACATTCAGGTGCATCTGCCAGAATTTGAACTCCGACATTTATGAATGGCACCCGTCATGTGAGAGACGCCTGTGTCAGTGGCCTTCGCGTGGGCAGCCTGTCCAGTGACATCATGGAGAAATTACACGTGCGGAGACTTGGCCACTGGGGATTCCCAAGTGACCATGTAATCATGGTAACCAAGACAGCCTGGGGATTCTCCATCGAGTCATGTGTATACAAACGCATTAAGCGAGCACCCGATATCGTCTGATTTCAACCAATTTTCAAATTTGTTAACAAAGTTCAGTTAAACTATCTAATATAAAATTTCGTGGGCCATTTCTTGTTTGTTAGATGTGGAGAGGCAGACGGACAGACTTACGGGGAAACAACATGGAGATATCTGCAACTTTCAGTAGTGAACGCGCCTAGAAAGCAAAGCCTCGTATAAATATCGTGCCATCAGGTCGTCAGCCCCCCTGACAGTAGTTTGAACTCCCAGCGCGCAGGCAACTCTAAAGCTACTTACATAATAGAACGATTAAAGTTCACGGAGTCAGAAACTCGCACTTACCATGTGCGTGGCGGTGACAGGCGAGATGTCCCTCCCATTGAACTTATTTGCTCTGTACACAGCCTGCGTGTCCCAGTCGGTCCAGTACACCCAGTCCTCAAATGTTGTGATGCTGAATGGATGCTGAAGGGCATCGGGAGAGTAAAGGATCACACGCCGTTGGCTGCCATCGTAGTTGCAAGATGAGATCACGTTCAACTTGGCGTCCACCCAGTACACGCGTTTCCACACGAGGTCGAGCGTGAGCCCATTGGGCCATTTGACTTCATATGGGACAATTACCTGGCGATGCGACCCGTCCATTCCAGCACGTTCGATCTTCGGCTCGGTACCCCAGTCTGTCCAGAACATCCATCTGGAAACACGCAATTTTTAAGAGGGTCACTGACTTTCTGAAATTTGTAACGTGATGGTACTCAATCATCACAAACAGTTTCTCTTTGTTAAATCAACACCCTATGCAAGAGGAGTATCTGAAGACCCTGCCTAAGGAATGCCACGGCCTGCGCAGACCTGTTCACACTCACCCATCGATGGGGTTGAGCGCGATGGCGCGCGGCTCCTCCAGACTGTCCTGGATCAGCACCTTCCGCATGTTGCCCTCAAAGTTTGCCAGCTCTATCGTGTTCCTGCCCGTGTCTGTCCAGTAGATGTGGTTGTAGATCCAGTCCACCGCCAGACCGTCTGATGTCGTCAGCTCATCCTTTATCACGACCGTCCGCTCGCTGCCCTCATCAATTGGAGCTCTACGGAGACCAGAACAATGTTACTTATAACTGCGACCTCATCGTAAGTTAGTCCAGCTGGCCAGGCGTCGTTGGCCAGCTAGTTGAGGCCTGCGCTCACGGAGTACCACTGAACCACAAAAGTAAGACAGAAGACCTTTGATTTTTTGTTTGTCAAATTGATAGCTGGAGCAAAAACTTGGCACGGTTAACATGAAAGCTCCAACTGACTGAACCAAACCACGAAATCTGATTTCATTATTTCACTGCGTGCGAGATGAGGCACTCTAAATGACTTTGTATCTTGAGAGCCCTGTTGCATTTTAATTCTTTCTGTGTTGAGTTAACAACACAGAATCTACAAAGACTTTTTCGGATACGGATAACCAGGAATTCCGGCCACCAGTCACCGAGCCTAATTTCTAATTCTCCTACGATTCTGAGTTTATTAATGTGAATGACCGTGGTCTCACTCTCGGATTTAGACGACGCACGTGCCAGAGGGTTTGAGAGTTGCCTCATAAATGAAAATGGGGACTGCTTACTTATAAACCTTCTGGTCACTGACGTCACTCCAGAATATCATGCCGGTCCTGAAGACAAAATCCAGTGCCGTGGCACTCTTCGTGTTATTCACAATCGCTGTCATCTCGTGGTGGTCGAGCGAGATCTTGCGGATGTCGTGGCGGCGAGAGAAGAGCAACGAGGCGTGGCCCTCCATGGCCTTGCAGCGCGTGTGATTCCGCGGGTCCCGGAGGTACCCGTCGACACACTGGCATTTGAACGTACCCTTCTCGTTGATACAGAGCTGCGAGCAGGCTCCTGGCGTCTGACACTCGTCAATATCTGCAACGAGAACACGCTGATAGTGGCCCTTTTTCTAAAGATTCAACTAAATATTATCCTTCCCTCGCGATTTTTCAGGCCCGGTGGCTCTGACCTGTCCTAGGTCTCTCAAATGCTGGGACCGTGGTTATACGTGCTTGGCAGTGGACGTACCGTCACACGTGCGGTTGTCCATGAGCTTGTAGCCGGGCAGGCATTCGCAGTAGTAGCCTCCGGGGATGTCCACACAGCGCTGCGAGCAGCCCCCGTTGTTGTCCTTGCACTCGTCCTTGCCGCAGCGGTCGGCCGGCTCGTCCTCCGAGTTCTGGCAGTCCGGCTTCTTGTCGCAAACCTTCTCGAGGGGGATGCACGCCCCGTCCCCGCACTCGAAATGAGTCTTGGGGTCGCACTTCGGCGCCGACGAGTCTGCGACAGGGAGGTGCAGTTCGTTAGATACTGACGGCGGGGGCGGAGACCCCAAGGAAGGAAATAGCTGCCGGTCGGTACTCACTGCAGTTGTCCTCGTCGCTCTGGTCGCTGCACTCCGCGTGCCCCGAGCAGCGCAGGTGACCCGGGATGCATACCCAGTTCTTGCACTGGAATTGGTCCGGCCGACAAGTCACGTTCTGGCACTGTGCCACGCTCTCGTCGCTCCCGTCCGGGCAGTCCCTGTCGCCGTCGCAAAGCCAGGACTGATGGACGCACGTGATGCGGTCCTCACATTCGAATTCACGGGTCAGGCAGTGGGACGAATGCGCGGGTCGGTACGCGCAGACCTACGATAACAACGGTCGATTACATCTGGTGGCCTGCACGCCACTGAACACTTTCGATCAGCGCCGTGCAGCTCGTACTACGCACCTCTTCATCCGAGCCGTCCGGGCAGTCCAGGTCGCCGTCGCAGCGCCATCTCGAGGTGATGCAGAAATTTTCCGCGCACTTGAACTCGGAGTCCGGGACGCAGGGGATGCTGGGGCAGTATCTCTCGTCGGAGCCGTCCCCGCAGTCGTCGTCGCGGTCGCACACCCAGCGCTTCTGAATGCACTTCCCGTTCGTGCAAGTGAACTCGTCCGATCGACACGTGTCATCTGGCCATGCACAAGGGAACACATACAAAGCTGCTATGTATACTGCACGCCACTGGCTCACTGAAGACAGTGGCGTGCATCATACGGCACTGGAATGTCTTTAATCGTGATACACGCCTCTGGCCTGCAACACATTCACGTCAAGTTTGTCTTGAGGCTACGTCTGCATTACTTTAGAAGCTTTGATAAGCGAGAAAGTTACAGAGAAAGTGTCAAAATTAACGACTGGCCGGTCATTTGTATTGTGTGCTCGAAGCCATTCGTTTTTAACGTTTCAGTGGTAATGAACTATTGTGTCGTATCAAATTATGAGGTTATGTCGCCTGCAGGACACTGGTAAGTGTTTGGCCGTAATCGCAAACCGTTCCGAGGGGCGACATTCGAATCAGACAGAAAGAGTGAAAGTTAGCAGACAACTTGGAAATTAAACAACACAGAACACAGGGACCAGGGCAAGAACGAAAACAACTGACAGCTAAACAAAAGCAACAAATAACGAGAACGCAAAACACAAACAAAGACAAAAAACAAAAACAATTCCGGTTACCTGTCAAGAAAACAAAACACAAACAATGACAAGAAAACAAAAACAATTCCGGTTACCTGTCATATTGTCCATCTCCGCCACTGGACTGCATACGTCACAGTTTACGTACCTGGCATCGAGTGGTCGACCTTTCAACCCACAAGCGCCCGTCTCCTTCCTAATCCCTGATCATAATGCCAATAGAAGCAACCGGTATACACACGAGAGAGAGTTCTGCGCATGTGCGCGCGTAGTCGCCATATTGTCTTCACATACGTTCCTCCATCAGATCCTCATGAAACCTACCGCGGGCCTTCAGAATTCAACCCCGAAGGGCATCGCATCTCGTAATGTTGGTGTTCATTCAGTTCGATCGCAGCGACTGACGCGTTGCCATGACAACGAGGCACTGAATTGTGTTCAGTGGCGGCTTTACTGTTGCAGGTATCACGGAAATGAGCCGACGCCAACTGACGTCACGTTCGGCGTGAAAAACACTTCCGGTTCCGCTGTACCCGCTAACTACAGCACGAAGACAATCGATGCCAACCGGTGGCTATTAGCACGGCAGAACTCGCAAACAAAAGCCCATCAACGCCCGTTCCTCAAAGTCGCCTCTTTTCACGGTCTGACGCACTCGGCAGTCGATGCGATGCGTCAAGCTTCTCCCTCGTTCCACCGCCAACGCCGCGTCACAGCTCAGAACACATGCACCGATCAAGGCTGGCAGGGGCTTGCGATGCTTCACAGAGCCCTACAGACCAGATTATGGCGTGAGCCAGCTGAATCCAGCCCGCACCTCCCACTTACTATTTAAGAAATATTCGTTTGAATTTTAATCTCCTGTTTATATCTGAGTGAGTACTCAATTCTCGAATGCGTGCTCGCCCTTATCCGAAAGAGAATCTGGCAGAGAACAATATGGC